GTGTGTGTGTGTGTGTGTGTGTGTGTGTGTGTGTGTGTGTGTGTGTGTGTGTGTGTGTGTGTGTCTCAGCTACTTTGGTTCCCACAATGCACTTTTTGGTTCTCTTTTTTTCAACGCCTGACAAGACTTCTTTTTTCCCTTAACCCGGACAATGTGCTTGCTTTCGTCATTCCTGCAATGTGTGAGTTTATCCATTTCCCTCGCCAGTGCTGGAAGTTGAGGACTCACTTACGAAAAAGAGGCTCGTCTTAGGTAGTCGAGGTAATCACATTTATTTTTCAAGGGCGTACTCACACTACTTATTCTGCGAATGAATCTGGACAGAATTCCTTTTAGATGCGTCCAGAGAAGTCGCACTTGTGTGGAGTAAGTCCCACGTGTGAGTGTGCATAAGTTGTTGATCAGCCCACTCAAAACGACTGTGATTGCTTCCACAAGGGACATACATGATTGCTGCATTTGTGAATGTGCATAAGTTGTTGATCAGCCCACACAAATCGACCGTGATTGCTTCCACAAGGGACATACATAATTGCTGCATTTGTGAATCTGTTTTTTAATTTTTTTATTTTTTATTATGACCGGTCTTTTGACATCAGGCGATTTCACATCAGGCCATTTCACATCAGGCCATTTCACATCAGGCCATTTCACATCAGCCCATTTCACATCTGGCCAGCGGTGGAGCAGTGTCCATAATGATGCCTGCATTTTGTTGAACGTTTCCTGCTGCCATGACTGTCAGTTGGTAGGCAAGGGTTATGGCAGATGCTGCTGGGTGGTTTTGCTACGTCTTGGACTCTTCATACTCACACCTGGGCAATTGAAGTCCCTTTTAGTCCAGCAAGTGCTGGTGTCAGGGCATGCTCACACTCAATTTTTTTCGACTGAGCTCTGGACGTGATTACGGTAAAGTACATCCACTTTTCCGTAATTGCAGTTCACATATATTGAGGAAGGCGCTGCTAGTGTGAGCATGGCCTGAGTGTGCTCTTACTTCTTAGAGTTGGAATTTGGCTTCTTGTCATTGTTTACTTAGGACATGCTCAAGCTAGCATTTTGCTAAATGCATCTGACGCAATTACGGCCAACCTACATGCATCTGACTCCAATGACATCCAAAGCTTAGCCGAAAAAGTCGTAGTTAGAGTATGCCCTTAGTCTCCTCATTCGGACTAGAGCAGGACAGCATTTCAGCAGTTCATGGGTGTACAGACTGAGGGCATAGTCATACTACCATCTTCACCGAAATAGAACCCCCGGTCATTATTGCTGTATTTGGGGCAACTTTCAGTCCACACGCAGTGATAATGACTAGGTGTTCTATTCTGGTGAAGACGGTAGCACTTCCAAAGTGTGCCTGACCACAGTTCTGGACTCTATGAAAAATGACTGGCAATGACCTGCACAAATTGGCAGAACAACGGGTTTGATTCGAACTCAGGTTTGGGGAATACTCACAGTTGGCAGACAAAGTGCTTCACTGACTACACCCTCAGCTTCCATAGACATAACATGGGATGGGAGGAGGGCTCTCCACAGCGGAACAGGGCAGATGGATGCGAACTCAGGTCTGACTGAGGGCATACTCACACTAACACTTTCCTGAGTGCATCTTACCGCAATTATGGCAGGCCTCGAAACACTGCAAATGCCTGACTGTGTATTCTATACTTCAAAAGTGAACCCCCACAGCTGAACATAACAGTGGGATGCGAACTGGGGTCCGACTGAGAGCCTGCTCTTCCCCTGGCACTCAAACTACTACTACTTCGCCCAGCCATTTGTCTCAGACGCAGCCGTTAAACCGCCAGTACACCCGGGCTGCGTGCAAGCTTTCCTGGACCATTCAAGCTTAGCGACAAATGATTCGACTTCAGCATCTCGTAGTTCAACATCAGGCACCTGGGGGTGTGGGGGAGGGGAAGCAGAGCCCCCCCTCCCCCACACCCCTGAAGTGCATGCCAAAACACCAACTACGAAGAGAAGAAGTCCTCCTTTTAGAAGGGCTCCATCTTCCCTCTTCTTAGTCTTTGTCCGCATCCTTACCATCTGCACCGCCTATTCCTTCTCATGCATACAATACATCAAGTCCTGTCCTGTTGTCATTCTCCTGGCAGGAAAAACAAAACGAAAATGAATCTTCGGGTTCTCGATTTATGCGTGTCATCCTTGCGCAGGGGCCATGCTAATCTTCTCTGTATCCTTCCAATTTAACGGATGTCCCGAAGGACTCCGGTAGAACATAGAAGCCGCAGGCACAACATTTAAATGTCCCCCAAGCAAAATGAACAACCACAAAAAAAGCACCCACAGCAAACCGTGTGACACCATTTTGACATTAATAAATTTGAAACAAAAAATTAAAAAAATGAAAAAAAACGCTAGAAACAGCTTTTCTCCTTATTTTTGATGAAGTAACTCGGAGAAACGAAACACGTCTGGCACAGTCGGAGTGAATGTCTCCGTGGAAAAAGGGTACTTCCGGTGGTGAGGGGACAGGAGGTCACCATTCGTAAAGTGGACAGGGACAACATCCATGGCCAGATGCGTTCATTGCCCAAAGAAGGAAGAGAGTTGGATGCGAGAGAGCCAAACACAGCTGTCAGAGTTCCTCCGTTTCAGGGTGTAATGATATCTAAAAAAAAAAAAAAACGAAAGGCAAATAAGTTGAGAAATGTACCCCTGATCGGTACTAGCGGGGTCTATGACCAACACGGGTGTGAGTGTGAGCGCGAGTGGGTTGTGTGTGGTGTGTGGGAGAGTGTTGGCCATAGCCTCTGCTGCTACTCGATGAAGGGTGGGGGACGATGAGAAAGGGAGGCACAGCTACTGGCAGGTCTTGGTCTTTGTGTTCGCCAGACCCCCACTGGCGGCCCCAACCCTATACCCTAACCATTAGGGGCAAGGGGCAACATGAAATATCCCCTTCACAGAGAGAGGAAACTATGCTTGCAGGGTCCCCTCTAGATAGTCTTAGGAGTAGGTAGTGGAAGGCAAAGAAACAGAAGTTGAGAGAAGAATATAGAAAGAAAAAAAAAAAGAAATGTACCCTACCCTCGGTAGGGTAGTTTTCTCAATGGGAAATGGCTTCCCGCCCAAACCAAAAGGGCCAACGCATACTACAAAACGGATTTCACGTCAAAGAAAAATTCTACAAAATGACCAAATCTAATAGGTTATTCTCCTGTATTTAAAAAAAAAAAAAAAAAAGGGCGACGGTCTTGAGATATTATTATCATTGAGCTGACCGACCCCAAGCAATTTATTAGTAGT